TTCTATTCTATTCTATTCTATTCTATTCTATTCTATTCTATTCTATTATTCTGTTCTGTTCTTTTCTATTCCTTCCAATTTCTATTCTATTCTATTCTATTCTATTCTATTCTATTCTATTCTAGTTCTAGTTCTAGTTCTAGTTCTAGTTCTAGTTCTAGTTCTAGTTCTAGTTCTGTTCTACTGCGCTCCACTCCACTCCACTCGGTTCCATTCGGTTCCATTCTATAACCAGTGGAACCGCTTGCCTCCAGAAGTCAGTGGAGGTCTTTAAGAAAAGACCGGACAGCCCCCTGTCTGGAATGGTCTGGGGTCTCCTGCTTGAGCAGGGGGTTGGACTAGAAGACCTCCAAGGTCCCTTCCAGCTCTATTCCGATTAATTGACTTTGCTAAGCAACTTCTAGGAACTGCAGAACAGTTCATCCTTCCTCACATCCAGAACCCACCAAGTCCAGATCCAGAACCCCCCCCCCCCCCCCCCCCCACCCAGCCTGATGGGTCCAGGGTCAAAAACTTAAAAACTTGTCTGGTTTTCACTCCACGAATGATGGGAATCAAACACAGCAATAATGAATACACTTTATTTATTTATTTCAGTTTTCTACACTGTCATCTTAAAACCGACAACTGGGAGGTTTTTTTTGCAGCGTTTTAAAACCATCTGACTCATCATAACACAGCGCTTAGTAAAATAAATAAAAAGTTTTTGCTATCTTTAAGATGTCTTCTTTTCATCGCGTAGTTGTTAGTTGGCAACCAATCCAAGGTAACCCCAGTTTCTGACCAAGTAATGTTATTAAAAAGCCAGAACTTTTTAGTTAGAAGGCTGAAAAGTTATTAAAAAGGCAGAGACGTATTTTTTGAAAAAAGAAAAAAAAACCACAAAGTTTTTTTTTTTGTTTTTTTTTAAAGAGGGGGTTTGAGAAGCTTCTGCCTTTTACTAAAATTAGTAGTTGAGGTTAGTCAGGAAAGAAACTTCTCAACTTCCAACCAGATGCTTAAGACATTTTTTAAATAATGCAAACGAGGGGTTTAAACTTTTGATTTGGACGCTCAAATGTTTGATTGAAGGGGACAACGATTAATACCAATTAATTAAAGAGGCAGACCTCCTCAACTTACAATGATTTGTTTAGTGAGCGACGTTACAACAGCACTGAAAAAAGGGACTTACGACCATTTTCCACACACTTACAACCTTCTCAGCAATCCCCATGCTCACGTGATCCAAATTCAGAGGCTTGGCAACTGACTCGTATTTATGACGGTTGCCATGTCCCAGATTATGTAGTCCCCTTCTGACAAGCAAAGCCTGGTGACTCACTTATCAATGGTGGTGATTCACTGAACAACGGTGGCAAGAAAAGTCGTAAAACGGGGCAAACCTCACTTAACAACCGTCTCACTTAACAGCAATAATTTTAGGCTCCATTTGTGGCCGTTAAGTCGAGGACTACTTGAATATGCAGAAGGGTATTGATCAGCCTGTCTAGAAATTTGGCAATGGTAGGATTTTAAAGAATTAACATGGCTGTTATCCAGGGCAGGGGTCTCCAACCGTGGCCCCTTTAAGACTTGTGGACTTCAACTCCCAGAGTTCCTCAGCCAGCATTCTGGGAGTTGAAGTCCACCAGTCTTAAAGGGGCCACGGTTGGAGACAAACACCCCCCCCTCACCCCCACATTAAGCCTTCCAGAACTCTCCCTCGGGACTGTCCAGTCCGCTGCTCCTTTGAGTTATTCATTTTTGCACAGGCTGATAATGTCTTAAAAACTTTTTTCTTTTTTTTGCTAATCTTGCAGAAACCCAGGGCTGCTATTTTGCAAACAAATAGCTCTGAATCCCAGCATCGCACTTCCTTCCTATTTTAACTTTGACCTTTTCACCACTCGTCAAAGTTGGGCTTCCTAAAAAAAAGTTTGCTAAGCAAACTCAACACTTAACTGGAAAGATTTTTTTCTTCTTCAAATCTTGGTTGTGAGTGGTGGTGGTGGTTGGTTATCCATAGAAAAAAATGACTTTTGATGTAATTCGGGGTTGTTTAATCCGGATTTTTTGGGGGGGGAGCAATGGAAGGGGGTCTAAGGGGAACCCATGGTGGGATTTTTTTTCAAAAAGAGGAATTTAAGTTTCCCTAACTAAACAATGTTTCTCAACCCTTGAAGAGGGGTGGACTTCAACTCCCAGAATTCCTCAGCCAGCAATGGCTAGGGAATTCTGGGAGTTGAAGTCCACCCAGGAGTGGGATTCGGAAATCTCAGCAACCGGTTGGCTGCCTGGTGGCTGGGTGGGCGTGGCCATGGTGGGCGTGGCCCACCTTCAGAGGCTTTCCGGAAGCCGGAAACAAGCCCTTTTTGGACTTCCGGAACTTCCAGTTTGGCCCATTTTTTGCCCTCCCAGAACCTCCAGGCGAACCCTGCACTTATTTGGATCCAAAACAGTCCGTGTGGAGAATCCGGGGAGGGGAGGGGTGGGCGGGGCCAGCTGGTCGGTTCAACTACCAGTTTGGCGAACCAGATGTAAATTTAACAACTGGTTTGCTCAAACTGGCCCGAACCGGCTGAATCCAACCCCTGAATCCACCCATCTTCAAGCCGCCAGGGTGTAGAAATGCTGTTTATGTGGACGTATATCCACATCCTGTTTTCTAATATTATGTTCTAATGTAAACTTCTTTTTTTTTTTTAACTTTGGCGAACATCAAGCAAGAGCTTCCAAGCTTAAAATGCAAACAGCCAAACAAACAAACAAACTTGGCTTTAAACCTTCACGATAATGCCTTGGCCGGATTTCAAAGCGCCTTCTTTGCAGATTTAGCCCAGTTTTCCTTAACTAACTTCCTTGCTTCAGGAGGGGAACGGAAGTGAAAAGATAGGTTTATCTGCGTCAATGAATCCCTTGCACGTATCCTCGACTTGCAACAGTTTGTTTAGGGACCATTCAAAGTCACACCAGCACTAGAAAAACCGGACTTGTGACCGATTTTCACACTTACAACACAGCAACTCCATGCACCATGATCAAAATTCAGACACTTGGCAACTGACTCATATTTATGACGGTTGCCGTGTTCCCGAGATCACGTGATCCCCCTTGGCGACAAGAACAGTCCATGGGGAAAAAACAGATTCACTTAAAAACCGTTTGACTCATAGAGTAACTGCAGTGATTCACTTAACAACGGTGGCGAGCAACGACCCCCCCCTTTTCCGAGCTTCCGACGAGCAACTGTCAACTTGTAAAACATTCCTATGCCTGTTTCCAAATCTCCATAAGAAAGAGGGGGGTGGAACCTGGAGGCGCAGATGGCGAGTGAACTCAGAAGCACATTCCAAGCTTATCTCACCAAGATTGTAACTGAGGCAACGGGGTATTTTGGCCCGAAAATCCTTTACTGGAGAATGTGGTTGCTGACATTCAGCCTATGAACGTGTTTTGTTGGAGAATCTGAATTATGATGGGGGGGGGGGGGGGGGGGGGGGAAATGGGGTCATAGAGGATTGTAAATTTCGTATCTCAGAGTCGGCTTCATACAGGTCATGCCAGCATGTTGCTCCTAATAAACCTTTGGATGTTTGGCTCAAGGCCCATATGATTTAATTAGGGCGATCGCTGGAATCCTGACACAAACTCAGCAGAACTGGCTGGAGAACTCTGAAAGTTGAAGCCCACAGGCCTTGAAAGTTGTCAAGGTTGGATCCCCCTGCTTTTAAAGAAAGACACACACCCCCTTCACACCAGCTCTGGACCTCCCCACACACACACACACACACCCATATCTCACCTTCCTCAGCACTCGTTTCTTTGTCGTGACCGACCTTCCTTCGATGTCGCTAAAGACGTCATCCGACTCCTGGGACGAACTGGCCAAAGACGAACAGGTGGACGAACCCGAGACGGACCGGTCGGAAGGCACCCCTGGGGCTTGGCTTAGGCGGGAGGGAGCTGGAGCTGGGGGCACTCCAGAGGTTACCTGGCTCAGCGGGCAGGGTGGGGACCCCTGGCATGTCTGCAAGCCGTTGCTGGAAAAGGCCCCACAGCGCAGCTCGGCCCCTTCCTCGGCTGCCCTCGCCGGCTCGGACGGAGGCTCTGCCGCTTCCCACCTCTCGGGCTCCATCGGATGAATGAGAGATCCCGAGGAGGCTGGGATCCATTCCATGAGGACTCCGAAGGGTGGATCACCGGATCTCAGGCCAGGGGATTCTTGCAATGGCCCTCGGATGCTCCAGGTTCAGATTCCAACAGTTGTCTACATAGGGAAACCCAAACAAGGCAGATTTAACCCAAAGGTGCTTTTTTTTTTCAACTGGACTTTCTTTGTTTTTCCTTTGAAGAGGTTTCGCTTCTCATCCAAGAAGCTTCATCAGCTCTGAACTGGATGGTGGGGAATGGAAGGATTGATACTCCTTGCAGACAGCTGGTCATTTGCATCCTTTTAGAGCTGTGGTGGCGAACCTATGGCACGCGTGCCGCAAGTGGCACGCAGAGCCATTACTGCCGGCACATGAGCACTCGGCCAGAAAAGGTCTACTGCACATGCACGTGTGCCACCCGCCTGAAAGCTGATTGTCGGGTGCCTGGTGTGCAAGTGCAGGGGTGCGACGGTGCGCAGAACACACTCGTGCATGCATAGAAGCATGTGGCGCGTGTGGGAGATTGCGTGCACATGTGCAGAAGCATGCAGCACTGACCGTGCATGCATGTGCAGAAGCGCAGATCGCATGAGTTGCGCAGGTTGTGTGTGCATGCGCAGGAGACATGGGGGGCACGCGCGCATTGCCTTCTGGGCAATGGCATGCAAGCACGAGCAGGCAAGTGCGCACGCAATTATTGGCACGGGAGCCCAAAAAGGTGAGCCGCCCCTGTTTTAGAGAGTCACTGAGGTTACTTGGACCCTGAGGACACAGACAAGCCCCCAGGTGACCTCAATGACCCTCTGCAAGGATGCAAATGACCAGCTGTGTCTGCAAGGAGTATCAATCCTTCCCTTCCCCACCATCTAGTTCAGAGCTGAAGAAGCTTCTGGGATGAGAAGCGAAACCTCTTCAAAGGAAAAACAAAGAAAGTCCAGCTGCCTCTTGAAAAAAAAAAGCACCTTTGGGACCACGATGACCTGGATGATTGAGAATCTCCACAGACATTTAGTAGATTTCACAGAATGAGCTGGAAGGGACCTTGGAGGTCTTCTAGTCCAACCCTATACCTATTTATGATCTATTTACTTATTGTACTTTTTTTTTAAAAAAAATCATCCATGCCTTCACTACAAAGACCCATCAATTAGGAGCCACGATTACCCCTCTGAGAAAGAGAGGCGGTAAAGGAAGTCTTTGACTTACAACCGCTTGTTTAGTGACCCCCGTTTGAAGTTGCAGCACCTCTGAAAGAAGTGACTTACGACCGTCGTTCGCACTTACGGCCGTTGCAAGCATCCCCAGGATTACGTGATCAAAATCTGGACCAGCTTGGCAGCCAGTTCGTATTTACGACGGTCGCAGTGTTCCCGGGGGGAGAGGGTGTGTGTGTGTGTGTGTCGCCTGATCCCCTTTTGCGACTGCCTGACAAGTGAAGCCAATGGGGAAGCCGGATTCGCTTCATGACCGTATGGTTGTTAAACAAGTGCAGGGATTCACTTATAACAACTCTGGCAAGAAAAGTTGCCACATGGGCTAAAACTCACTTAACGACTGTCTTGCTAAACAGTGGAGATTTTGGGCTCAGTTGTGGCCGTAAGTTGAGGACCAAAATGTACAGACTCTAAAAGACACAGCATGCAAGGAGAAAAGGAATGGGGAGAAGGAAGGAAAGGAGGAGGAAAGAACAAATGTTTCACTTCCCATTACAGGGACTCCTTCAGACTTATGACCACAATTAAGGCCAAAATGGATGTTGCCGAGCGAGATGCGTGTCAAGTGAGTTTTGCTCCGTTTTACCACCTTTCTTGCCACTGTTGTTAAGTGAATCATTGCAGTTAGTAATATGGTCATTAAGTGAATTGGGCTTCCCCGCTGACTTCACTTGTCCGAAGGTCGCAAAAGGGGATCAATCATGTGACCCCTGGGAAACTGCAACCGTCGTAAATATGAGTCGGTTGCCAAGCATCCAAATATAAATACACGTTTATGCAGATGCTGCAATGGTCATAAGTGTGAAAAATGGTTGTAAGTCACTTTTTTCAGTGCCATTGTAACTTTGAATGGCCACTCAACAAACGGTTGTAAATAGAGGACTACCTGCACTGCCTTCTTCTCTAACCCTTCTTCATCACTGGAGGCTTTCAAAATTGGGCTGCCCTCTGTCAGAAATGATGTAGGGTCTCCTGCTTGGGCGGGGGGTTGGACTAGATGACCTACAAGGTCCCTTCTAACTCTTGTTAACCTGTTAAACCCTTTCTCTAACATTTCTTTTAATCACAGCAAAAACAGGCCAAGAAACACATTTTTTCCCCTTTCAAATCTTTATTTTATCTGATCCAACTTTGTTCCTGGAATTTAAAGAACTTCAAAAATCTTGCATTTTAAGGTTGCCGGAGGAAAGACGAAGCAATATATATATATATATTAATTTTTAAAAAACCAGAAGTCCACTGGCAGATTTTTCCACCCTGGACCAACATTTGCAGAGAATTATGCAATTCACGAACATTTTAAAAGCAGAAATGAACTCTTTCCTAAGCTGCTGTTGTTAGTTTGCAAGAGGTAGTGCGATTGAGACTCCAGATTTTTTTCCGCCAAGTGATCTATTTCTTTGAAAGCTCTGTTTCCTGCCCCAGCCCCGCCAGGAATGTTAATTAATTGAGAAATGATTAATCAAACAATGGCAACCGGAGAAGCAGGAATTCCACCCAATAACAGTCTGCAATATAACATGAAAAGGCTCCAAAGTTCAAGAAATTAAAAACTGGTTTAAAGGAGAAGCCAGGATTATTCCATTTTTTTCAACCACTTTGCTTCCTTGTTTTTAAGAAGCTGTGAAAATGAGAAAAAAATAAAATAAAAATAAGATTAAATCCTTGATTTAAGGATTAAATCCAACTGTTTGTCCAGTGACCAAAGCAACGTGAAAAGTGTGATTTATGAGTGCTTTTCACAATTACATTTGCAACATCCTCAGTCACATGATCAGATGCTTGGCCCGTTTCATACTTATGACCACTGCAATGTCCCCAAGTCCTGGGATCCCCCTTTTACGACCTTGTTTAATATAATTGAGACGGACTCCTTTGGAGCCTTTAAGTTGAAATGGGAATCTGTTTTATATGCCGGCTCCTTCACCCACCCGTAAAATGGGAATAATTACAATTTAAGGCAAAATTCCCCCCAGGGAAGGAACCAAAAGGGAAATAAATCTAAACCAGATTCAGCTTCTAACTTCTAATTTTACAGAATTGGAACTGATGTGGAGTAATAAAATCCTTTTTAAGATCCTTTTTCCTCTTCAGGATTTTTTTGCAGGGCAGTTTCTGGTGCGCAACTCAACAACCGAAGTGGGGGCTCCAGCCAGCTGCCCCCCCCCCCCGACACCCACAAATAACTGTCCCCCCTTCCCACTGCACCTGACAGCTGGATGCACCTGTGTTGGGGGTTGGCCCAAAACAAAAGCAAAAAGCAACAATAAACCCAGTTTATTCTGGGGGTGAACGCAATGGTAGTTTTGGCACGGAGTTCACACACCCACCAGTCCTCAACAAGGGTGTGCAACAAGGAGCGTGTATTTGTTGCACACAGCATAACAACCGTTGCTTTAGGGAGCAAAGTTACAACATCCCTGAAAAAAAGCGACTTAAGACCATTTTTCACACTTACAACCACGCTGCAGTACCGCAATTCAAAATTCGGACGCTCGGCCACTGAGTCACGTTTATGACGGACGCAGTGTCCGGGGGTCACGAGGGATCCCTTCTGATCAGCCAAGTTGACGGGGGAAGCCCCATTCACTTAGCAACCGTGTGACTCACTTAAGAACGGCAGTGAGTCACAAAACAGGGGGGGGGGAACTGACTTCACTGTCCCGCTTAAGCAACAGAAATGTTGGCCTCCATCCTAAGTCGAGCACTTTACCTGTCCCGAGCTGGGTGGCTGGAAGATCTCCCGCTTGAGCAAGCAGGCTGGACTAGAAGACCTCCAAAGTCCCTTCTGAGCTGACTCTAAGACCCAGTTGGCTGGATTCACACAACCCCCTGGGTGCAAATCAGGTGTGTGTGTGTGTGTGTGTGTGTGTGTGTGTGTGTTGTTGTTGTTGTTGTTGTTGTAGCTTGTGGGGGCTTCTCTGGGTTTCAGGGGGTTCAGTTTAAGCCCTTTCCCCTTGCTTCCAACAGTAATAGAACAAGGAAAGGGATGCACTCTGCCCATGCCCAGAGGAACTCTTTTCCTGGCCACTAAGGCAGAGATTCCTTTCCTTTGGAAAGCTGGATGGAACCCAGTAAGGAAAGCAAAGAAAGGGCATCCAAACTGCTCCCCTGCTCTCCCCCCTTCCCCCTCCCCAGTGGAACCCCCCCTCGAACCCCTTCTCCTCGGTTCCTCACCTGCAAAAGACGAAGCTACGGGGGATTCATCTTGTCCCCGCGTCCCCGGCTTGCAAGAGCACGTCAGAAAGGCGGGGAGAAAACCCGTGCAGAGAGGAGGGGGTGGGGGGGAGGAAGGAGGAAGGGCTAGGAAAGGCTGGTCTCGTGCTACCCTCTGCTGGCCGCCGGGGACACTGCAGGCCTCTCCCCGAAGGGCAAACAGACTGGAATGGAATGGAATAAAAGAACAGAACAGAACAGAACAGAACAGAATAGAACAGAATAGAATAGAATAGAATAGAATAGAATAGAATAGAATAGAATAGAAAATAGGATGGAATGGAATGGAATGGAATGGAATGGAATAGAATAGAATAGAATAGAATAGAATAGAATAGAATAGAATAGAATAGGAATTTTTCTCTCCTAGAAAAATGAAATATCCTAGGAAATATTAAAAAGGCAGAATATTTCCCTAAAAAGAGAAGTAGAAACTTAGAAGCAGAAACTCACCTCAGAAGCAGAAGCTCAGCCCCCACATTTGTTAATGGGTGGGCCATTAACACCTGGGCCAGAGTATTCTACATAACAAAGATCTACTCCAGGTAAAGCTATAATAGGAATTGCCCAAAGCATCATCATCCAGCAAAGGCTCAACCAAGCCTGGGACTCAGTACAGAGTTGCCCCTGCATGGCCCCATGGGAGTCTCACAACCAATCAGAACTTCATTTTCATGTTCTCCAAAGTGGAAAACATCGAAAACCTGCTTCATTTTCGGACCCGAGCTTTCCTTGAGGAGATATCCCAAGACATATCTCAAAATGGTCGGTAGAACTCAATTCAGCCAGGGTGGAAAACATTGAAAATCCGCTTCTTTTTCAGATCCGAGCTTTCCCTGAGGAGATATCCCTAACCCAAACCCTATACCTAACCCTAATCTCAAAATGGTGGGTTGAACTCAATTCATCCAGAATACAAAACTTTTGATGCAGAGCTCGGATTTCGAAAAGAACCTCATTTTCATGTTCCCCAGGGTGGAAAATATTGAAAACCCGCTTGATTTTCGGATCCGAGCTTTCCCTGAGGAGATATCCCCAACCCCAACCCCAACCCTAATGAACCTTGTTGCAAGGGACCCAGGTTCACTTGCTTGGGACACGGAATTTGTCCCCAGCCTGGCTTTCGGAGAGGGCGGCAGCTGAGAGGGTGGGCAGGGGACTAGAGGGCCAGAAGCAACCCACCCACCCACTGCCATTCAAGTAGCCCCTCCCCTCCCCTCCCCTCCCCTCCCCACGCTGCTCCTGCTCCCTGGACTTGGTGAGCTATAGATGGTTTGCGTGACCAAAGTGGGACAAAAACTGCTCCTGACAAAGTGAAGAGCGGGGAGAGCCTGCTTCCTCGCGTGCCAGGGAGGGCCCTTCTGAGTAGCTTTTTCTCTTTGGGCTTCCCAACCTGAGCCACAGAGGGTTAGAATTAGGTTGGCCTTAGGAGAAGATTAAGAGGCAATGTTATTTGAAAAGTCCAGTCTGGTTATCGACTATTGAAGCATTTTCTTATCCTATAATATATAAAAAGGAACAAACAGTTAGATATGGGGAAATATTGAATGAAAAGGGTGAACTCAAATCGATGCAAAAACTAGAGGAACAAGGTATAAAGATGAATTGGTTTTCATATGCGCAAACACATTCAAGGTATGATAAAGATCTCAAAACAGAGGGATTCTATGATAAATTGACTGATCTAGATAAGATTTTGACAGGTACTGATGAAAAGGTGATTTAAAAACTGTATGGATATTTATTAGAAATTAAACTAGAAGAACAAGTTAAAGAAACTATGATTGCTTGGGGGAAGAACTTTGGATATGGGATTGATTTAGAGAAATGGCAAAAATTGTGGTCTCAAAATTATAAAATGACAATGTCAACAGCTTATAAAGAAAATTTGTATAAGATGTTTTACAGGTGGCATTTCCCCCCCGACAAGAATAGCAAGAATGTTCAAGAATAAATTTGAAAAATGTTGGAAATGTCATCAGACACCTGGCTCATATTACCATATGTGGTGGACTTGTGCGGATGCTAAAAAATACTGGACTAAAATCCACATGTGGTTGGAAAAAATGACAAAAAAACATATAGACTTGAAACCAGAGATATTTTTATTGGGAATTTTACCTGAAATATATAGTAAAGACTTGAAATATCTGATTGTAAATGTATTAACAGCGGCTAGGATTGTATTTGCCAAAAATTGGAAAAATGAGAAAACACCATCACAGGAGGAAATCATTAAGAAAATATTGGAACGTGCTGAAATGAGTAGATTGACATTTGAAATTAGAGAACAAGAGGATAAACAATTTTATAAAATTTGGGACCTTTTCTATCAATGGTTAGATAATAAAATATAGTAATGAAATATGTAGATTTTTAGAAAATAATAAATATATAAAGATGTATTTCTTTTTTATTATATCTACTAAATGTTTTTAGGATAGATTTGGGAGGATAATATGAATCGTTATAAAATAAACTAAGTAAATTGTGGTTATCTCGTAAAATATGAATGAATAAAATTATAGTCAAATGATTGATTAATAATATTAGGGTATTTAATTTTTGATTCATAATATGAGCTTTTATGTAATGTAACTGTAATTGAAGACTACGAAATGGATGCACAAAATGATTTGTAAACCAACCGGCACACTGTTTGTATACCTATGGAAGAAAGTTTGATGTTTTTATGTTTTGTTTGTTTATGTTTGTTTTTAAAAACCAATAAAATTTACAAAAAAAGAAAAAGAAGTGTATATGATGTTTAAACTGAAGCCCACAGAGTCTTTATTTCTTTTGAAAATGGAATGCTACTAATGTTGCTGTAAGAAACACAGAAATTAATTTGCCTTATCTATACTATCTTGTGTATCTAAAAGCTGTCAATCACATTTCTTCCCCCAGCCACTTTTCAGTCACCAGGCCAGCCTTCCTTCCACTTGACATGCTTTATGTTAACTTATAAGACTGAAAGTGGTTTGTGTCCGTTCTTCCTTTAACCTTTGCATTAATCATGGTTCTTGGCCTGGGTGAGTCAGATCAGCTGAATGTGCAGTGTTGTCAATGAAATAAACAAGGAAATTTGATAGCAATTTATTGACTTTTCTCAACTCGAGACTGACCTTTTGGAAAATGTCAACTGCGAAGATCTGTATTTGTTTTGGATGATCCTGGGATGGGAAGCATGGATTGTGACTCTTAGCCTTCTCTTCCAGAATGGGGTGAGCCACTTTGAGGCTGTGGTGAAGACATCAGGCTGGAAAATGGGAGATGCTCCATTCAAGTCCTGCCTTAGTCACAGAGCCAGTTACATGACCTTAGGGCCAGTCTCTCAGCCCCTGGGAGGAGGCAACGGCGAAGCACTTTGGAAAAACCTTGCAAGAAAATTGTAGGGTCCTGTCCAGGAAGCCTCTGAGAACCAGACTCCATGAAATAAAAGGGGAAAATATCAGCGATGCCAAATTCTGCTTCCTATAATGGAACTTGAGCTTTGGCGCTGCCGATATTTAACAGGGGGCTTCAGAAGTTATCCGAAGGGCGACCTGTTTTAAGAGTTACTGCAGGAACATTCCCATAAAATATTCTCAGGTGATCAATGTGTCTTTCTTCAGCCTTCAAAGCCTGAAAGCTTCCAATTTACTATGGGCCCACTTCTGGTTTTGTTTTAATGAACACATTTAGATGGCCCACAGTGTACATGCAGCAATAAAAAGGTGACAATTTAAAAACCCCACCCTGCCCAGCCCACCTCCTCTGCCCCGGGCAACAAGGAGCAACTAAACAGGATTGCTTCCATATCAACTTGGGCCCCCCAGGCCCACAGACAGAGCCACGTCTCTTCAGGGCTTTTCAGAAGAGCCTTCCTTCTGGGGGCACGACGTTCCACAGGGAAAGGCGGCCCCCTTTTCTTGGTATCACCAGGTGGTCTTCCATAATAGAGAGGAACTGCCACACATCCCCTGAGGGGCGGTTTGCCAAATGACCTATAGCCCCAAGTCATGAAGGGCTTCAAAGGTGATAAATCAACGCCTTGAAGTGCGCCCAGAAGCAAACTGGCAAACAATGCAGCTCCCACACAACAGGTGACAAATGTGGAAATTTGGGTTTGCACAGAACTACGTGGCCTGCTGTGTTTTAAGCCAACTGAAGCTTCCAGATACTCTCCAAGGGCAGCCCCATGCAGAGTGCTTTACAAAAGTCAAAACAGGAGTAGACTAGGGTGTGGGTGACTGGGAGCAAGGCCTGCTGGCCCAGGAGCGGGGATAACGGGCACACAACACACCATTTTGCCTAGGCCCTCCTGGCTACAATTGCCACCTGCTCCTCAGCATGAGTGACAGGTCCAGGAGAACCTCCAGGTGGCACCCTGGGTCTGGGGCAATGCAATCCAATCAAAGGTGGCCCTTCCCCAAGAGCCAAAGAGCCTGTTCTGTCTTCTGTACAGAGGCAGATAGATAAACTCAACAAAACATTCATACAAAGTCTTTATAATAATCCTCAAAACTCACATTTGTGACAAAGTTCTTCTTAATGTCCAATCCTTTGCATATCTGTCTTGCAGGTAAAAAGATGGTTATCTCCTGATCCCTTTCCTCCCATCTCATAGCGGTAGAAGTAGAGCAGTTACCACGAGTCCATGAGTTCAGCCAAGAGTGAGGAAACCTCCTCCAACCCATTGAGGGTCAATTTAGTGACCAATCAGGATTACAGATGTGGTCACGTGACATGGACTACATTTCCCAGGATACCTTAACTACATTTACCATGATTCCCTTAAGGGGACAGCTCATAATTGCTAACTAATTATCCAATCCCCATACGTTGGCTGGACAGCACAGAGCCCATACCCTTCTTGCCTGGCCTTGAACCTGTTGCAGACCTTGAACCTTGATCCAGACCTTCACAGCCTCCAGGTGCCAGGCAGACAATTGTGGCATTGCTTAGTTCTCCACGGGCAGAGCTGTAGGCCAGTTGACGGGCGGAGTCCCCCAGAGGTTGCATCTAGAGGCTACACAGAGAGAACCGCAAAGCAGGG